TAGCCAATCGACCGGAAGCAGGAATTAGAGCAGTTTAAACAGTTCTAGCCAATCGACTGGAAGCAGGAATTAGAGCAGTTTAAACAGTTCTAGCCAATCTTGCTATTTCAAAATGCAATAGCTAGAATTTCATTTAAATTAAACAGTATAATTGGCTCAAGATATTAAAAGCCAGTGTATCCAAATAGTAAGGTTTTTAAGAATTTTATTTTTTATAATTTTCGCGTAAATATACTCAAGGACTGTCGCTCCTAGTTACAGGGAAGATGGCTAGTCAACATCACTCGCCGTCAACTCTTGGATAACTCTTGTTAATGGAATCTGACCGATACTGTTACAGTGCTTTTACGGAGTCAAAGTGTAAAACATATTTTTACGACAACGGGTTGTAAACCATGAACCTACAACCCGGGTATGCTAACTACTAGGTCACATTAGGCTAACAAGGTTAAGATTGTTTATCAAATATATGTTTGTAGCGTTAATTTCAACCTTTTACATTCACTGGAAAAACTCAAGATGTAACCTATTATTTTGTATCTTAAGATAAACTTTTTCAATTTTTTAAGATTTTTTTAGATATAATTATTATACTTTCTCTTCATGATATCCTCAATAGAAAAAAATGTTTTTATCACATATTTTAATTATAAATAGAAAAATCAAGGAAATACACAACAACATTATAGTTTTACACGAAATGCACTAGCCAATTCTATAATATACAAGTCTGTTTTTTAATTATTTAATTATTAATTCCTACCCTAGATGTGGGGCAGCGGTAAGTTTACGGACTTATAAAACTAAAATCCGGAGTTTGTTTCCCCGCAAGTGACGCAGCAGATAGCGCAATGTGGCTCTGCATTTAAACAAACAAACCTACCCTAGATAATGACGACCGAAAACAGACTCGTCATATGGTACGTTTCCGTTTGGTCAAGGCGAAGTCTAAATTTAATTTGTTTTCATTATTTATTTATTTTGCTTTAATGCCCCCCAATGGCACAGTGGTATGTCTGCGGACTTACAACGCTAGAAACCGGGTTTCGATACCCGTGGTGGGCAGAGCACAGATAGCCCACTGTGTAGCTTTGTGCTTAATTACAAACAAACAATTTTTCTTTAAAAACTTTTTAAATCATAATTTATTAGGACGAATTACAATCACTAGATTTAAATCTAAAATCTCCTGTCTCCAACTAAGACAATTTAAAAAACAACAACTAAGATATAACTATCTAAAATATTTGTTTTATATATATATTATTTTTATGAATGAATATCAACTCTAATTTCAATTTTCTCATAATAACGATCGATAATGGTATTGCCAAATGGTGTGTGTTAAATTTCATTTTCATAAACTTATTTTATTTTAATTTCATTATTACTTTTAGGTATTCTTTAACATTATACTTTCAATGGAAAAACATATAATCACTAAACTTAACTTTAAAACCTTCTATTTCCAAAAACTTAGGTTAATTCTGTTTCATATGTCCCAAAACTTAGACTTAAAACCCTCTCTTTCACTAAATTTAACACAAACAAGATATTTTCACACACAATTCATGATTGCAAGCTATCGACACTCATGAAGCCACCTTGAGGTGAAAATCATAGAGTATTTAGAGTTATTTCAGCAAACAACTTGACTTACACTTTGAAAGCGATTTCAGTCAGGGGAACCTTAATTATCAAGAAACTGAAACCAAAGACGATCACTATTTCGCAAGCAATTGAAGTTATTAAATCAAATATATTAAAGGCGTAGCAGTAAAAAGTGTGAAAAAATTTAAATACATACTTCATCAGTTACAAAAAATAGGAGTAAATAATAATTCTAATTAATTTTTTAATAGAAGTTTATGTTAAGGAAAATTGCAAAAGAGGGAAAACGCAGCCTTGAGTAAAGAAAAATTCGGTTTAATATTTCAAAATGCAATATGAATTGTTGGATAATTAAAAGGACATTTTACTTGTGAGTGAAGTGGAAGGATATTAACGATTAAATGATGGTCAGAAATAAAGAATAAATTTTAAGAAGATCAAAAGGGTTTTATAAAACAATGTGGAAATATTTGAAACGTTACATATAGCAATGAATAATGGAGAACATATTTCTTGAAATATATAGTTAGATAGTTATATTTCTTGAAAGGAAGAACATTTTGTCCAGTTTCTTATGCTATTCAATATTTTAGAAACATTTTTTCAGATTTTCAGAATCACAGTTAACACAAAAAATAATAGCAATAGTATTTTTAAGAGGAAAAACAAACAGGTTGCAAAAAATGAAGTTAAAACACACTTAGGTATTTTTTTAAATGCTATAAATTGTGATGTTTGGAAGAAATTTGGTAGGTTGCTGATAGCATTCAATATAAATCCAGATATACCAAACATTAGTAAAGAACACGAAATAATACAAGTATATATCTTTGGATTTGGTTTATATGTGAGGTTAGGCACAGATTTAACATTCAATGTGTAAATAGAAATATAAGAATGTTTAGCGCTCGACAAATACTTAAATATTAAATATGAATTATATTGAAAAGATAATAATATATTTCATAATTTTGAAGGTGATGTGAACCGATTTCAATATCTTTATGTAATTATGGTAATAATTACACTGTGGTGAATCTCTTATGGCAGCGTTTCTCAAACTGTGGCCCAGGAGGTCTGCGAGGTATATCCCAATTTTATAAAAATATTTACAAAATATGATTTGCAAGAATAAAAAAATATTTTCGCTAAGTAAAATTTACATGATTAAAACATTTAATTTTGGAACATGGCTTTTTATGCATACGGAATCTTTTTTTAATCAAAAACCATCGATAAGTTTGGGGGTCCACGAAAAAATTTTAAATTAAAAGAGGTCCTCGTGTTACTAAAGTATGCGAACTGCTATCATATTCTGCGCAATTTGAAATCCAACGAATTGATCTGTTATCAACTAGTTACTAAACTAAACCAGTGAATTTGTACCCAAAATTAATAGTTGTTTGATAAATTAGAATCTGTAGCAGTATATACCAAATACAACTTGTTCACAGGAATATATATTAGTGAAACTATTATATTGTTTTTCAAACTTGCTGTATTCTGTCATTGGTTATGAATTATATATATTAAATAAATGTCATTTGATAAAATAAGAATTATCGTGTTTATCATAAATGGACTACTTTTTCTGGAAATCCACAATAGTGTCAATTTGTATATAAAACATTGTGGTTGTTTTATTGCATCGTATAAAAACAGTGTTATGTATGAGAGTTATTATTAGAAATTTCTGGTTTTCTTTTCACCAGAGAAGGGAAGCAGAATAGGTATTTCTGTTGTTACTAAAACTATATATAAAAAAAAGGGTAGCCTTACACAATTTTAGATATTGTAATGATATAGTACATTTTAATTTACCTGTTGGTAAAAGTTTTAGATGAGAAAACTACAGTTTACACGTCAATGGAGTACCTGCTGTAAAAATAACAGTATAAATACAAGATTTACAACAATTAACCATACGTTGGGTGATTTAAATATAAATATATAAAACGATCGTGCTTTTTTTACCACGTTACACTGAATTGTCTCGTGCTTTAGAATCAGAAGAGATATTCAAGTTTCAGCAGTGCTAGAGCAACAATTAGCTATAAATATTTGTTTGTAGTTAAGCACAAAGCTACACAATGCTGTGCCTATCACGGGTATCGAAACTCGGTTTTTAGTTTGAAAAGTCCGTAGACGAACCGCTAAGCTACTAGTTGGTGCTTATCTATGACTTACGAAATGAATAACAGCGTTGACCTTTAATGTTGAAACACGCTGACTTGTTTTATAAAAGAAACGGTTATAAGGTAAACGCTAATGTCATTGTCTTCTTTTTATGCAGTCATTAATTTCACGTGACTTTCACATGTAAAGATATTTTGCACCAATACTTGGCGATTACAGTGTGACGCAAAATGGCATGAGCCAATAGGATCAACTCTACAAAATTTATGCAAATTTATTGAAGCTGGCAAACGAGAGGAAAGAAATATTTTAAGCGACAGAATCGACTAATTGCATAGCAAGATAATCTCTTTTTGTTTTTTTACCAAGGAAGTATACCGCCTAGCACGCGAGGGTAACACTAGTTTTCTGGTTCCTCTGTCATAGTTGTGAAGCAGTGTTTCACCATTGTCTATTCTGAAGGTCAGTTGATAATTATTTATTAAATTTATAGCATAATTGCCAATTCTCTAGATGTTTAATATTAACAGAAGATATGAAGCAAGAACATAATGAGTGGTTAAAACTCATCTATAGAGGTAGAAACTACATCCCTCGGTAAAATACAGTTAGATCAATTTCCGTAAAATACACGTATATCTACAGGAATATTAGTTGGTAATGTATGTATATATATATCACTTAACAAACACATTTAATTATATCACTTACTAAAATACCAATACAATTACATCATTCCTAATAAAAATTATCGTAACTTGAGAACATTCTTGTAACTCTAATTACTCGGAATATATTACTTAAAGATATATGTATATCTTTAGATAAAATAGTAACAGATCTAACCACTTGCTAAAATACTTTTATATTAACATCATATCATAAAATACTTGTACATGTGTTGTTGTTGTTTTATTTCTTAAAATAGTTGTAGGTCTAAATAACTCGGTAAAATGTTAGGGAATCTGTACCACTTAGAAAGATATATGTATCTTTCTATCACCTGTTAAATACCTTTTAGTTTTATATCCCTAATAGAACACTTGTAATTGTTCCTTTTACTTCTGTGTTACTTGATAAAGTACATACTTATAGATCTACGTCATTCGGTAAACGCACTTGCAGATTTATATCATCATATAAAATAAACATGGATGTATTTCACTTAATAGAATACTTATTGATCCATATGACTTACTATTTACTCGTACGTTTATAACACCTAGTGAAGTAACGGTATACTATATGGCTCTGTAAGTTGCTGGTATATCTATAACTTAATAAATACTTATTGATCCATATGACTTACTATTTACTCGTACGTTTATAACACCTAGTGAAGTAACGGTATACTATATGGCTCTGTAAGTTGCTGGTATATCTATATCCACTGAAAAAAAATTGTGTAGCTCTTTGTCAGTAGGAAAATATGTACACGTTTCTCTATAGCACTCAGTAAGATACTTGTTTATTTATGCTTCACTTTAAATTATACATACTTTTACACCACACAGTAAAATACTTGCAGATATGTATTACTTGGAAAATTACATGTATCTTTATATTATTCAATATAATACATGCCGTTTTATATCACTCACTAAAATAAATGTTTCTTTATGTCACTTGGTAAAATATACGTGGAATCTATATCTGTTGATAAAATACATGTCAGTCTATGCCACTTATTTAAATACTTTTAAATCTACATCTTGGTAAAACTATGTAGAACTATGTATAAATTTATGACTCTCAGTAAAAATTCACGTTAACTGATACATGTAGCTTTATATCAGTTACTACAGAAGTTGAATGCTTTATGCTAAAGGGATTTTTCAGCCACACCACTTCATTACAGTCTATGTCGTCACGTGTGTCTCGACCGTGCATCTTGTTGACAGCCCTTCAGCGTAGTTTCCATAGCAAAAGGCTCCATTGTGAAAATTTCATGTCAAAAGTACACCAGTCTTCCTTGTTTATTTTACATACTTCATTTAGTGTACGAAGACAACGGTTTCCTAGCGCTTGTTTCACCAGTCCGATCGCATAAAAATCTATAGGCGCTCCACATGACCACTTTGTCTACTTACAGAATAGTATGAACACCAGTTTCAATCTACGTTCTAAAACACCGATCTTTATGTTCTTAGTGTATGAATATTTTGTGTCGGACAGTCTTGTTATACACCCTTTCTCAAAATCGATCAATTTTCTTAAGCATTACTCTATCTAAAAAACGCCATACAATATCAAATTACCATTCTGATATATTCCGTTAGACCGTGACTTGATATCAGCAATTTTATCGTGCGACTTCTGGTTTCTATATTCAGAATCGTTTTAATATAACTACTCAACCCTTTGTATCATGATACATACAGGAAAAATACGAGGATTTCCATATGACCTGTTAAAATACGAATAACTCTATATCATACGCATAATTCATTAGTTACACCAACTGCCAGGTTGATTTTTAGTTTCACTTTAAGTAATTTTAAAGAAGTTATAATAAAAATATATTCAAATGCCTGAATATATCGTCCAGTAAAATACTTGTTGATATATATATATATCTTAATGATATATATATTTTCGTATTAATTGTAACGGATTTATTATTATACATTTATTTTAATATCGATGTTTGCTTAAATTAAATTTATATTTAGAAATGTACGTAACTTATACTGTTAAATATGTATTGCGAAACTCCAACCTATTCTCTAAAGTTGTAGAAAATTGTCGAGTGGAATAATCAACAATATATGTGTATACGTAAACCGTAGTGTTAGCGTCAGTATTGTTACATAAAACTGAAATTTCGAGAAACTCTCCACCCGCTTATAAATATAACCAACACGCCGCGCCAAAAAGCAGTATATATTATTGGTTTGCTATAGTTGGTGTGCTATAAACTTCTTAATCTATAACTGTAATTGTTATAACGGTTATTAATCAGGAAACTTAAGCTATTTGACCAGGAACGTTTATAAATTTCGAACATTACAAACCATTTAACTTCAGTAGATTCACATCGGACATTAGTACTTTTACGAAAACATTACCTAACGTCATTGGTGGAAATTTGACCTGTAATCGGCGCGTAATCAGCGAGAACTACAGGGCTAGCTAGCTCCCTGTTAAGTGAATTATACCTACGTTAACTCGAAATTAACTCGCTCATCGTCAACCTTCTATAAGATATCAAGGAAGTTCCAGTCTAGAAAAAAGACTTTATATTACTTATAAGTTTGTGAAAATTTTGTATATAAATCATTGTTCATAATAACTGTTATTGTAAGTTGTATTATTGTTGTTTGTATATTAAAGCATATTTGTATTGAAAAAAGAAAACTGTGTGTATCAATCTTGTTGGCAAATATAATAAATTGGAGATATATCGGCAAATATTTAACTACTAAATCTAAGTTACAATTTAATTCAGTTTTAGGCTATCAGAAATTGTCATAATTGACATAATTTAAACAATACGTATTGCTGTATTTTACTCTGCAAAACACATTTAGCTCTACATCTCATGGTAAAAAAAAGCTTTACACCCTTATAAACTGGCAAACTATATATTTAGTTCTATATGGCCCAATGAAATACATACATATCGATATCACTTAGTACAAATTATTGCTGATCTATATCACTCAATAGAATATATGTAGCTCTATATAACTTTGTGAACTACTTTTAGTTCAGTAACACTCAATAACATGCATGTTCTTTTTTATCACTTGATAAAACATAAATAGAAATATGTCACTTGGCAAAATACTTCTAGAAACATACCTCATTTATGATACTTTAAGATATATATATCTATATGTAAAATATCGTTTATTCTATGTTACATTGTAAAACAACCTTAGATCTACATGAGTCGGTTGAATACTTTAGATCTATATTTCAATGTAAAATACTTGTATATTTATATCACTCGCGATGAACATTGAACTCTTTATCAGCTATTAAAATGCTCTGTTTCTTTCAATGTTTCATTCACACGGTAAAATACTCGTAGCCCTATATCATTTGTCAACTACTTGCAGATCTATATCACATTGTAAAATATATATATATATACTTAAATCTATGTTACGCGGGAAGTACATGTAAGTCTACATGAAAAGATAAATTATTTGTAGTTCAATGTTACTTGATATATTACATGTGGTTTAGAGCATTCAATAAAATATTTATAGAAACTTTTAGTTCTGTATTACCCGATAAATTACGTGTTATTTTATACCATACCTTTAAATACTTTAAGATTTACATCTTGTTACAATACATGTTAAAAATACATGTATATCTTTGTTTAAAAAATTTGTGGATCAGTATTATTTGGTAAAACAAGAATTGCATTATAAACTTCAATGGGAAAAAAAACGCGCATTACTATGACAAAATAACGACGTTTTGTCATTTACAATTTTGATTTTAATTGCACTGTACCAGATACTGCTGTATACACGTTAATATTGGGATTTATATATTTCTGCTGTTCTTCTGTGCTTTACTACGTGTAAAATTCCGTCTTATCTGAAGTCAACTTCTATATTATCCTAAATCGTTCTTCTCCACGTATTTTACAATTATAAATGCTTGATCAATTTAAATATCTGACATTAGTAGTTTTAATCACTTCCTTTTGCACGATTATTCATTGAATGAAAAAAAATGTAGTCTTGTTGATCGATAAGTTGTGTGATATTGCATCACAATAAGGTTATTAATAATAGTTTTAATCACTTCCTTTTGCACGATTACTCATTGAATGAGAAAAAATGTAGTCTTGTTGATCGATAAGTTGTGTGATATTGCATCACAATAAGGTTATTAATAATAGTTTTGATCACGTCTTTCTTTATTAACTCCACACAGAACCACTGAAGAAAGATATGGTTAACTCTAGAATTACTGATGATATGGACACGCCGGTTTTTAAACACATAAATTCTTTTCTAAGCTATTTTCACTCTAAGCCTTTGTGGGTCTATGACAAGGTTCCTAAGACCACGAGTCACAGAAAGAAATAAGAAGAAATATCATCAATATAGCAGTTAATACCATTGATTACTTCTGAAGATCGTTTTGTTTTTCAAACAGAAAGTGAGTGATTTCACCCAATGTTTTTGTTCTTATAGTTTCTATTATTTCTCATCTCACTGTTCTTCTGTTGTTGACCAACTAACAAACACTGGCATATGTTGGGTGGCTGTATCCCGAAACATACAAATATGTTGGTTACTCAAAATCAGTTGATCTTCTTGTGGAATTTGGACACTTCTATGTGGTTTTACAGATTTATTTTATTTTTGTATACACAAAAGTTATGATCTAAACCTGTTGGTGAAAACAGTAAAAAAAAAAAAAGAAGTAAAGAATTATATGCTAATAAGCCTTAACATGAAGTTCATGAAAACGTAAACGTGGAGTATTATCAACCCATGTCTTCAGTTTAATCTGTAATGCAAAAACACACACAAAAACTGTAAGAAACCGCTTATTTCATATCACATTTTCATTATCAAGTAGGATGTAATTTTTTTCGAAACAAATGTCTCTATTGTAAATGTATCCCCATTAGGTTATAGAGAGAAGGCAATATAGTCAACCAAACATAATGTTCGTGTAACTCAAAAATATATATATATATAATTTGCATTAGACAGTTCACCAAATAAATTTGCCATTAACATATTACTAGAAACGTTTTATTTATTTGTAATATGTCAACAATAAACAGTAGTTTAAAAACGAAACTTTTTTATTTTCTGCATATTAATTACACTGTTGAGCTCAATTAAAGGTTTAACATAATTTCATTGTTTTGTACAGTCTGAAGTTAACAGCTGACCTAAATTTAACGCAATTAAGTGATGCTATGTCATTTGAAGAGCGCTTTGTGTAGGTAGAACAGGATGTAATCCTTTAAAGTTCAAAAGGATAAACTTACCTTTTACAGAAACTCATCTTTTACTAGTGTGAAGAAGGTTCTTCTAATTTAAGCCACACAAGTTGTAAAGCTATACATCCTCCTCCGTGAAATTCGGTTGTCTGATTAATAAACCTCCCTGCATGATTCCTTCATTCAACAAACTCGGAGATCACGACTTTCTCTACGACTGTGTTTTTGTTTTCTCAAACAATTGTAGTTATTGACGTGACAAACCCCGAGATTCTTTTAATCCATCTCGTCGACAGAAGTTTTAGTAATTGCTGTGAGGCTTCGTCTCATTCCCAATCGTTGTCGGAGTAGCAACACCACCTGGTGATCAGTTATTGAAATAGATACAAAAGAAAATCAAAAAGAGAATCGAATAGGTAAATGAAAGAAAGTTTCTCATATACTTAAAAAATATGTTTAGTAAAATATGAGATATTAATGTAATATTGAAGACATTAATGCAATATTGGAGATATACTATTATCTGTTCAAATGTCCTGTAATATAAAATACGTGGCTACAAAACTGAAACTAATATCGTTGTAAATAAGATATACACTATATATGCAGTCCGTTTCGTGCATGTTACACTTGTACACTATTTACACGATTGTAGCAGAAATATTTTTACAAGATATATATTTGCAGAGGTAGCTTTGTGTTAGAGAAATTACATTCACAATATATATTGATTAACCATAACGAGTAGATATATTATGGAAAAAATACACGTCCACTACTTATTGCCATAATGAATACTTATATCATGAAAGAAATACACGTTCACTACTTATTGGCCATAATGAGTAGTTATATCATGGAAGAAATATGTGTACACTACTCACTGGTCATAGCAATAATGAAAAATTATATGATAGACAATACACATACACTATTGATTGGCAATAATGAGAAGTTATATCGTAGACATTGCATGTATACAGTATTGAGTAACAATAATAATAAGTTATATCATAGACATTACACGTCTACACTATTGAGGAACAATAATGATAAGTTATATTATAGACAGCACAATTACATTATTGAGTAACAATAATGATAAGTTATATCGTAGACAGTACACTTACACTACTAATTGGCAATAATGAGAAATTATAACATAGACAATATATATATACACTATTATATCATAAAGAGTATACGTACAGAAATTATTATGCATATGAGCAGAACTATATCATAGATAATATATCTACAATTCTGATTATCTCTTTTAGCAGTGTTATAACATACGGGATATAAGTTCAGTATTGATTATAAACACAGAGAATATACGTCACAGCTGTCTATACATAAGATGAGTGTTATGACAAAGAGAAAATAGATATACTGATATTATACATATACGCAATGTTATGTCACAGAGTATATACATCCACCACAATTATCTGTATCAAAAATATTAGAACAGGATATACATACTCAACTGGTTATACAAATGAGGAATGTGGGTTTATCCTATTGAACAATGTCATAGTGTTAGGTATTTGGACTGATTCCACAATTATTGTTATGTTATGATTGTCGAGTTTAATTAGAAGTGTTGGATTTTGTATGTTAAGGTTTGTTATTTGTATAAGAAGCGTTATTATAGATGTAGCAACTGATTATTTTTGGCGAGTATTGTAATATTATGGATGTTGCTATTGGTTATATGCATTAGCAATTTAATATTATGTAAGTTACCATTGGTTACCCGTATGAGGAGTGTTGTACTCAAGAAGCTATGTATAAACGATAGAATACATGCACGTAAAATTCTGTAGTTTGAGAGAACGTATTCATATGTCTATGTATTTTTAACATGCTAATATGATGCTGTAACATTATTCATTTTTAGTGATTCCATCGAGTTTCGATCATATGATGTTTGGAGTGTTCCTGTTGTTATTGGCGACAAATTTTGCAGCAAACATGCAAAATTCAGATAAGGAGAGACTTTTCCGACTTAGGTACGTAAAAAAATATCCATTCAATTACTTTCGTTACAGTTACTCTGAAAACGTGGCTTATCTAAACAACACACTGAATTTTTCAACGATAACATTTGAAATAAACGAACACTAAACTTTCTAAGGCTTTGATAAGATTGTTGTATTAATTAATTTAACATACGATGGTTAGTTTTACTGATGATTGATTCGATATTTGTAAATAATCCCGATTAAAATTATCCTAATTCTATCTTTTAGAAGAACAAAATACACATAGAAAAGAGACGCAGAAACCAGTATTTGCTTAAACATGTTTTTCTTTTTTAAATAATAAACAACTAACGACAGAATATAACCAAGAGCAGGTCAATATGAATAAAAACAACCAGTTATGTCCTGCTGGACTGCAAAAATACTGAATACAGCCAACTTTATATTTGGTATTTTTAAATTCTTATGAAAGTGTTTCCCATGGGTCAACGATAAGTTTACAAACTTACAATGCTAACATCCGAGGTTCGTTTCCCTGCACTATACTGATTATAGATAGCATTGTGCTAAACAGAAAGCATGAACACTTATAAAGGAATAGTAATTCTCGCAGTTTCTTGTGGCAGACTTTACTTTATAGTTATCATCATGTTTCCTGTTGTTGGATAACATAATTACTTTATAGTTATCATCATGTTTCCTACTGTTGGATAACATAATTACTTTATAGTTATCATCATGTTTCCTACTGTTGGATAACATAATTACTTTATAGTTATGACCATGTTTCCTGGTGTGGGATAAGGTAATTACTTTGTAGTTATCACCAGATTTCCTGGTGTGGGATAAGGTAATTACTTTGTAGTTATCACCATGTTTCCTGGTGTGGGATAAGGTAATTACTTTGTAGTTATCACCAGGTTTCCTGTTGTGGGATAAGGTAATTACTTTATAGTTATCATCATGTTTCCTGCTGTTAGATAACATAATTACTTTATAGTTATCACCATGTTTCCTGGTGTGGGATAAGGTAATTACTTTATAGTTATCATCATGTTTCCTACTGTGGGATAAGGTAATTACTTTGTAGTTATCACCAGGTTTCCTGCTGTGGGATAAGGTAATTACTTTATAGTTATCACCATGTTTCCTGGTGTGGGATAAGGTAATTACTTTATAGTTATCACTATGTTGCCTACTGTGGGATATGTAAAGACTTTATAGTTATCACCATGTTTCCTGCTGTAGGATAACTAATGACTCAGTAGTTCTGAGTGGTTCTCTGTGAGTGAACACATAAGAAAGCTCAGTTTTATGTGTGCTAATCAAATCGATTAATAATTAAATAATCGTATAAATTCGATTTCGAAGTTTATTTCAATGATAGAAATATATAATCGAAATTCCGATTATGTACTCAGAATTAGTGATTGTCTTCTACGAAGGAAAATTAATTACATGGGAGGAAATATATGTGAAATGGGATGTTCAATAAACTAATATTCACAGTAATACCGGATAATGTATGATTATTGTTAGAAACGGACTTGATTTCGATTTTTGAAAGGAAACCCCAGATATCGGTGATAAATATATAACATTTGAACATGATATTAAACAATGAAACTGTGTTAACGTTATGGAGCTTCAAAGACTTCTATATCACGAAACTGGTAATAACTTTACGATAAGAATAAATACTTTTATAATTAAGGTTTGTTTGTTTGTTTCAGAGCAAAGCCACATTGGACTATCTGCTGTGTTCACAGAGGGGAATCAAACCCCGGATTTTAGCGTTGTAAGTCCGTAAAATTACCGCTGTGCACGTAAAGTATGTGTTCTTGTTTCTATAGCTCAGTGGTAAGTCTGAGGGCTCACACCGTTAAAAAACGGTAACAGCACAGATAGCCCATTTGGTAGCTTGGTAGCGCTTAATAACAAACAAACACACTACGTATACATATGCCCCCCCCCCCAGTGGCACAGCGGTATGTCTGCGGAATTACAACGCTAGAAACCGGGTTTCGATACCCGTGGTGGGCAGAGCACAGATAGCCCACTGTGTAGCTTTGTGCTTAACTATAAACAAACAAACGTATACATATATATGTAATAGTTGTACTTTCGCAGCGACCACGAAGGTGTTCTGTTTCAAGAGTAAATAAAACCAAAATTAAAAGTAACAGATCTCTTTATTTCTTACTTTAGAAGTTCACATCTCATGAAGTGTTTGTAGCCTACAAAGTGCATAATTCTTTTCCTGGTTCATGACATGCGCACGTTTTACTGACAACACACTACTGTATACTGGTGCGAGTGATTAAAACAGGTGACCGCCCCAGGCGGCCTTCGGCCCCCTTTCAGCGAATTAGTAAAGTATTACTCTTTTCATTACTTCAAGAAATGTTTTACTTTGATATTTTTAATATAAACATCATATTCGAAGTTAAAGTTCTAGGTTCAGATGAAGTTGTAATAGAGAGAATTCTAAGTTTGACCGCAACATTAAAACTTTACAGATATGGGTGAAATCCAAAACAGTGTATGGAGGTAGCATAACATTGTCTCTAATTTCGAACCACCGACCACAGGAAGACAACCAGCAGGCAACAAACACTTCTACTTTATACCATATTATTATTGTCCATTATTGCTTATCTTTTTTTTTATGATTAATCTAATTCTTAACACCACGTAGCCAATATAAATAATTCTATTTCAATATTACTTCAATTAATATTTTACACTTGGAGAGTTTCATACTGGTCGTAGCACAGAATCTCTTCTATCCAATAATCCCATCTTCTACTTGTAATGCGAATTAAATTTGATTTAAGTAGCATCTATTCTTTCCCCATACTTTCACACTTGCTCCACTTCCATACTTTCACTCCCTTTCGACAAGTCTTCAAATTGACCAGTGTGACCTCAGTTCCTTCTTTTCCTGTTCCCGTAGTTTACATGCTATTTCATTACGACATTATTCATAGAACTTATTAGGTTGCTCAAAGGCTGTGCCTTACTAGCTAGGTGGTCAAATTTCTCATCGAATAATATGCCGCTGTAGCCTGGAATACAAACAGGTCTTTATTAAATGATTTTTCAAGTTTTTCAAAGGTTTTAACCCATTGTATCTAGTCAGAACCTAACTCCAGCCTTGTGATGACGTTTATGGGTCTGTAATGAACTTCACTGTAAACCAGATAGATACATTCTCTCGTACTTCACATTCTGCTCTGAATGAAGTGTAGCATCCATTTTATGCTGCCTGTCATTTAAACATTACATGTTTATCCCCCACCCCCACGGCTTCTACTCATGCAGTCACGTCTTTCTTGACTGCGACATTTGTTACTATGATAAGTGTCGGTCTCTGCTCATACACACATTCCATGACTTTGACTGTGTTATGTAGTCCTGACCTTTCCCTGGTGCCAAACTTCTTTGTGTTTAGTTAATTTAACTTACATGGATACACTATATTTCTGACTAGCAGAGACCCGCAAAACATTTGCGACCAAATCAATATCTTTATTGCAACAGTTCTTCTTTGAATACAGGATTGTTAGAGTAATACAAAAGAATTGTAATCGCAGACACTGAAATCTATAATTCCACTTATGTTAGTCCTAACATTAGTTAAGCCTTTATTAAATACGGCCTATTTTCGATAAAGAGATAAATTAACACTGTAACTTGTGTATGTTTTTTGCTTTAGTTCATTTAGGGCTAAACTTTACCGCACTTAATACTATCAATAAATAATCTTCTAATATTATTGTACGACCTAACGTTAGACCTTTTTAAAACTTTGATAACATTTTAATATGTTGTATAAAATGTCTACTAAACTATATTTACGTATTTTCTGGCGTAACTCAACGATTTAACAAAGATACATTTTCAAATTGCGAAAAAGGTGCAATTTTTTGTACATTTTAGTCCAAATATATATCTTTAATTTTCGATCAATCGACGGGAAGCCAAACTACTTAAATTACGTAATAAGCTGCTATGACATCGTTGCGTGACCGAAAGACAGACAGACAGATACGCACTGTATTTTATAGTATTAGATGATTTCCAGGGGAAATATCTCCTCAACATCTTTATTGGTTTCACTTGACCAATTTAAGTTTCTAATTTACTGCTTCATCTCTTTCTCTTAAGTGCTAAAACAGTTTGTGATTTATCTCTCAGATGATCAATATGTGCTGTCGTTAACGATCTGAAATCAATCACGACACCAAGAAAAGGGACTGAATTCTTATGTAAATCTCTGTTTTCTGCATTTTTACATTGAAGAGAGAAATAGCTGGGTGAGATCTGGTAGCCAACATTTAACTGGCTTTATTTGATTGGATGAACATTTTGTTACCTATAATTCCATGACAGAGACTTTTGTTGGCTTCTTGCAGACCCTGCATCGTTCTCATTGGCCATTGGATATTTACAGCAATTATATCATCAACATATGTATATGGTGTCACTCCAGGGCTTTCCTGTGCGTTGACCACATCAGCTTGTGTACATTGAAGGGGGCATGACTCAGGGGGGGGGGGGTTCTTTGTGGCATGCCCGGGATGAATTATAGAATTTCGCATCTCCATTTCAAGTGACAGTGCCTGATGTCCAGCATAGCCAATAGCCATCATATGAAAATCTTCCAAGGCCTTTAGTTTTGTTGACAAAATGCCAATATTCTCTCGAATGTAGGTATCTTCAAGGTCAAATATCCCAACACAACATTTTTCTGTTGTCTGTATACACCGCTGTATGTCGTTAGCGACGGTCTCGACATTTGCGGTTGTAGATTTTTTGTTTTGATTTCCCTTCCCACCAGGGTAGGCAGGCAATCTTTCTTCTACAGGTTGCCCAAGTATTTTTGCTGCTACCTTTTCCATGAGCTTTACGCATAAATTTGGCAATGCTAACACTCTATATCCCTTCCGTGCGACGATCTTTGAATGGTTTGGGCATTGAGCAGTCTCTTGAGACCCTTCTTTATTCACCTCACTATCATTGAAAAATGTATTATTTCACTTAGCTGTGCTTTCTGTTCTATGGCGAGAGTTTTTATTTTAGAATATCTCACACCATCTGGGCATAGTGTAGAATCCCTATTTATTTTCTAAATAATTTCCTCCTATTCATCCAGATTTACTGGCATTTATGACAGTAGCTCAGCTCCATGTTGAACTTTGTCATTCACTCCCTGCCACGCCCATCTTACAGAGGTTTACTCATTTTCTTGTAGCTGCAAGAAGTTATTACTATTTTTTTCATCAGTTCTAAGACAATTCAGCATTCGTTCCTCAAATCTCTTGTGACAAGATCACACATCCTCTTGATACTTTTTTCATAGTTTTGCCAGTTTCTAAACTTGACGTGGTATAATGAAATCTCTGGATCACATTGCTGATAAAAAAAATGTCCCATAGTGGTTGCCTACTTCTGTCTGCCTTTTGCTGAAATTCGGAGGTAACTTTATTGAATTCTGCTTGATCTAAACTTCTCTTTTATTACACATTTTAACCTGAGTTTATATTTTTCTGGTCTACGTTTCCTCTTTCCAGGCTTACTCCATTGCTTAACGTTTATTGTGATTATTTACATTTCTGGCTCACTCATTCTTTTCTCACTATCTCCCTACATTTTCTCATGATAGTTTTGGATCCTGTTCGAAATCTGTAGTCAGAGCATAAACTATTTATGAGATGACTCTTTCTCGGCTGAATGCACGAGTATTGGCTTGTGATCACTGCCCATTAAAGGCAATAACCTCCAGTTTAACTTAATGAATGTAGCAGAAGTAATATGTGTGAGGTCTATGGATAGGTCAGAGTCTCCCTTTCTGCTATTCTTGTGAGGACATCATTATTAGTTAGAATATAGTTGTTGTTTCGCAGTGTCTCCTCCAACGATCTTCCATTCACAATTCAGTCACTGTCCATCCAGATAGCCCCCAGACATTAAAATCCACCAATAAACGAACCGCACTGTTTTGCTCGTTCAACTTACGTTTCAGTCCATTAGTCAGGAGATTTTTCGTTATTCGAAGTTCGTGTTCACTGTTGGCCCTAGCAAGAATTTTTAACTGTCATCTATTTATAGGCTCATTACATTCATTCAGAGCATTTTAATACTTGGAACTGACGTAGAAACATGTGCTAATTGAATGCAATGAACCTATAAATAGAAGAAAATTAACAGACTCAAACCGAAGTTAAAAGAGCCAAACAGTGCGATTCGTTTATTGTTGAATCTTTGAGTGTTAACGGTGTGTTAATTAGGCATTAACATCACTTATAAATGATTTATCTTGTGCGCATATTCACAAACAGATTCAACAGATTAGTTATTTTCTTTTAGAATTTTGCGGAATGACTGAGACGAGGAGTTGGTATTACTAATGATATAATTATTCTGGATCATAGGTTCGGCGGTTCGCATCCTGGTAATTCCACAAAAAGCTTTCTGGTTTGTGACGCATACAAAAATGTTTGATATAACACCTGACGACGGCCGGAGAATTCATTGGTCGAAACGTTGTGAAAATAATAATAAAGACGAGAATAACAGTGCGAATAATTATACCATTAGTAATTCTTTTTTTCCCCTCTGTCATAATGTCATTGGAGATATACAAATTAACCAGGCTATTTTTCTTGCCAGTAATCTTCAGGTTGACTGCCAGAGTCTCTGGACTCACTTTCTTTCACTTGAAAGCATTCGATGTCGGCATATACAGGGATGAGAAGTCCTCTTTTGGCGCCTACTTCTACTTTCGATTTTTCGAAAAATGCTTTGGTACCTCTGCCATATGATGGTTTTTCTCATAGTTTTGTTTTTTGCACCATTACGACATTCTTTTCATTCAGTAGTTTTTTAATTGTCACTTTTCTCATTTTGTAGCTATATATGTTCCAAGATTTTCCCAAACACACATTTCTTATTCATCTCCCCCACTTACTTTCTTGTTTTACCTTCTTTTCCTTCTTCTAAGTGTTTGCTTTGATATACGTTTGTCATTGCACAGAAACATAATTTAGGTTTGGTTTGGTTGTTCTGAAGCGCAAAACTATACAATGAGCTATCTGTGCTCTGTCCACCACAAGTATCGAAACCTGATTTTTAGCGTCATAAACCTGCAGACTTACAACTGAACCACTGGGGGGTGAGGCATAGTTTAAATGTTAATTATTTCGAGCATAGAATTTTTAAGTAAAATATCTCTATCAATATATAAGTTAGAAATAAAAGATGTGATAGAAAAATAAACAGGGAAAAAACAAATTATCTGTGAAAATTTGTAAACAACACACATGGGCTGGTTGCTCTTTTTAATGCAAAGCCGCATTGAGCTAGCTGCTGTGTCCACCGCGGAGAATAGAACTCCGGATGTTAGCATCGTAAGTGCGCGTGCTTACCACAGTCCCGCCGGAGGACTAACACACGCAAATATTGCAACTGAGTGTTTTAGAAAGGTTTGAGAGTTTATGAAGAAAGAGTTACTTCCTATGATAAGATATCTGAAAAGAAGAATAAAAAGTAACCTTCTCCCATAATTGGTATTAAACATGAACTGTATGAAAGTAATTGTTTATCGCTTGTTTCATTAACGTTGATCATTAATGTGATTGCCATCGGTGATCGAGAAAATAAAGTTATTTAAGTTACTGATATATAGAAAAATATATTAAAATAATTATAATTACTGAAAAAATGTTCCAACCTACATCCTTTTGAAATAAATTAAGCTCACAAGAGAAGCTTTATGGAGGGAAAATGCTTGTTTAACTTAAAAGTGAAATAGGGGTATAAAGTATATACTTTTTTCATGTAAGATGATAATTGTAATTTTTGCTTAAATTCTGAATCGATTATAATAAAATAAACATAAATATAGAAATAGAAATATTTATAAAAAACTAAAATAGCTTAAAGATTTGGTACTTATCAGATATTATTTTTAAGTTATATTTTCTCTTAGGATTTGGTCCGGCATGGCCAGGTGGTTAGGGCACTCGACTCGCAATCTGAGGGTCGCGTGTTCGAATCCCCGTCCTACGAAACATGCTTGACCTTTCAGCCGTAGGGGCGTTATATGACGGTCAATCCCACTATTCGTTGGTAAAAGAGTAGCCCAAGAGTTGGCGGGGGGTGGGGATGACTAGCCGTCTTCCCCCTA